GAGTTCTTCAAATCACAAGCTCTGTAGAATTTCAAATTCTTACGTCACGAAACCTCTCACTTTAACTGATTCATTGGCATCCTGAAGAAATAAAACTGATTTCCTCAATTCATAAAGTTTTTAAACTGAATTAGCTAATACTAATTTTTCATATTCTTGTCGGGTACGACAAAAACATACAGCAAACATAATATTTATTGTATTGAGAAACAATACACAACATAGAAAAACGTTTTGCCTTTTGTGAATATTTCCTTTTTTTATTGACCAATGAAAATTCTGCTTTCAAAAATCTCCGGAATATGGTGTCAGAAGATCAATATGTCTGTCAACGTCCTGGGGGCGAAAAAAAGGGGCCTATGGATTCATATCTCCATTAGGTAATAGGAAGACAGGCCGTGATTGGACGGTTTTGTGACCAATCTTGAAGTTCCATCCGTGTAAGGTTCGACAAAGCTAAGTAGAGCCTTAAACCCTATTGATGTTATGTGAAAGTTTTGACCACCGTATGGTTGTGTTAAAGTATGTGTGCGTGTGTTTTAACTCACTACACTTGCAATTCAAACATCATGAAATATGTTCGTTTTTTTGTGAACAAGCCGTTTTATTCTTAAGCACTCTTTACTTTTATTCAACAGTTGTATTAACTGAACAAGATCATTTCTTTTTAGAAGCATCGATACCTGAATGCGTTAATATTAGCCATTATTACCAGTTTATAGACTGAAGCTATCTCATAACATTCTAGTTCAATTTTTTCAACTTTTCACTGTACACTTGAACCTATAGTTTAAACTTCCGCAGCACACTTACCTAGCACAAGCCGGTAGGTTTTATTTATCATCACTCAGTTGCGTCTCTGTCTTCGGGGAGAGTTCGACTCGGTTGCGGCTCCATCGGAAGACAAAAGCGCAACTGAGGAAAATTACACAGTGAGGTGCCCAGCCCTGGGGAACAGATGCCCAAGGCTGCACATTCTCATTGCACCAGAAAGAGAGGGGTTGGTACTCGCACCGAGACCATCGTAATCGACGGTTGCTGGAGCTCGTTTAATTTTTGTCCTTAGCCCGAGTGTACGCGCTCGGATTCCCCCTCATTAAACCGAATTTGTGTCAACCTGACTCCGTCAAGTAAATACCTATTATAAAGTAGAGCTGGGGCTTTTTAATCTCAGAATTCACGAGTCCGAACTTTTAGTGTTGATAACTCCAAAACGGTAGATTTTAGCAAAATTTCTTTATTTTCGAATTAAACATATATATTTACATCTAAATATAACGATTCGGGGAATTTTTAATAAAATCTGAGCGCACGGCTTAAACCGTAAATGACAAAAAACTTTTTCGGGTCATGTTATGTTTTGCTGAGGGGATGGACATGTAAATGAATTAATATAATGAAATAGATATTGTTCTATTCTATTCTATTATTTATAGTTATTTTCCAAGCGTAGCTTAGATTTGGCACAAGGCCAAAAACATGGGACATCTAGTGAGGATCGAACTCACTTTTCAGTTGCAACTGATCTAGCGAGACAAGCTTGCTAACCATTACACCACGCCGAGGTGCCCAAAGTTCTACTGTTTATAGGGGGCGGCAAATTGTATGTTGTCGAATTTTAATACTAAATTCCACACACTACAAGGCTCGAAAATCCCTCAATGTAGAAAATTACAGTGAAAATGGTAATGCTGGATGAAATAGGTGATATGAAAGAGAAGGTTGTTAGAAAGTGAAGCTTACGAGAATAAGGAACTGAAAAATATAAACAACCTTAATTTTTAGCCATGTTCACTGCTGTACATAGAGATGACAGGAGAGGCAGTATGTCTTGGGCGTCGATTTTTTTTTTACTGACGCGGGGAACGAAGATGAAATACCGCATATGTCAGTGTACAAGACGACTTTTAACCTTAGCCCACCAAAAAGAAAAAAAAAAGAAGTAGGGTACCGTCTTGTACTCCAAGTATAAAATGTGAACTTTAAATTTTGTGGTTTATTAGCATTATTATTTGTTAGCATGAAGGGATTTTTTTACGGTAGGCTAAACCCCTGCCTTGGTAACTATCGACACAAATATTTTCTATTGAAACAATTTAATGCACATTATTTTGGTAGGGGTAAAATTAAGTGTAGATTGTGGTAGTTAATTGACAGTATTTTGCCTCCTTTTTTCGATGATGTTGAACAAAAGCACAACTGGATGTATGTCTCAACAAGCCGTTTAAAGATCGCATTCGAGAACAGTGGAACGAGTGGATGGTCTGTGGGGAGTCATTCATGAGGGATTGTAGATTGTGGTAGTTAACCGACAATATCTCCCCGCCGCTTTTTCATTAGGATTTGAATGAAAAAGAAAGTATATGCTTACTGAATTTTTTTAATAATTGCAATACAATACATTATAAAATATATATACAAGGGGTCGACTTGTACGGCGAATATAGCCTAAAACCTACATTTTAACTTGAAAATTCTATGTCCAGTCGCCTTGTACGCCAGCGTATACGGTAGTATAATGAAATTGATGTTGTTCAGTTTGTTTTTTTTTCTTTTTTTGGGGGGGGGTTGTTTAGAGAGGCGGCAAATTGTACAATCTACCTGGTCAGCACAAACGCTAGATACACATCTGGCTAGGTAATTCATTTATTTTACTCGTCACTGTATTGCCTTATGCCAGACTATGCGTTACTTAGTTTTACAGAGGCTTATTGTAACATCGCATTAAAACACGATCACAGGAGTTAAGCAACGTCGAGCCTGGTCTGAACGTGGATGGCTGACCACTTGGAAATACCAGGTGCTGTAAGCTTGGATGTGCGGGTGGTGTAATAGATAATATAACATAATTGTCAATCTGAGAGCCGAGTTCCATTTCCTGTTGAGTTTGTTTTATTCACTTACGTGCCTTTGGGAAAGTTATGAATCCGCCTCTTCTCCCCCCAGCTATGGATTAATTAGTAAGACTTGTATCACTAAATCATTATCTCAAAAACACATTCTGACAATCTAAAAATATTTTTTGGCTTTGAATAACCTGCAGAGGGTTGATAAGCCGTAAAAAAACGTGTCATTCAGTCATTAGTTTTATAATTTTTTTAAAATATTAACTATAACACTGGTCAACACGATTTTTGGTGCCAAAAAACAAAACACGTTTTTTTAGCTAATTTGATGTTGCTGATTCCGAAAATGAACTTAGTTTTTCATGGTTAGCTACCATTTTTGCTGTACTGAAATTGCTCATTCTTGTGAAAAAGATCAATTTACGATCTTGACTGATCGCAAAATTTAGTTAATAATGGTCGTAGAAACCCATCAATTTTCAGGTAGGCCGCGCAATTTATGTCAGCCACATGAAATAAACAATTTTTATACAAAAAAAAAACGAGTCAAAAATTTTAAAATAGAAATTTTTCCAATTTATCTCTAAAATTCAAATTAACAGATAAACTTTATCAGCAATACACTTTAGTAAAACTGATAATTAAGGTGACATAAAAAAATGAACCCTAAAATCTTCTGTTTAATATTCATAAATTTATCCCATCACTTTTATCCTTTCACTACGGAAGGAAATTAAGCACATTGAGAGCATTTTGTTTTCACAGTTGGAAAGAAACTCCAGCTAAAGACATTCAAATTGATGCACCTATTCCATTGTACATGATACTGATAGTGTCAAAAGGGACTTAAATAACATTGAACATGACAGACAATCAAGAAAGAGAAAATATTTACCATAGTTCTTATGTTCACGAAGGTTTTATTTCTGCTGTTAATTTATTAAATGTTTTGATGAAAATACTTGTTGGTCTTGGTGCATTCAATCGTATTATTTTTAAAGACTTAGGGTCTGATTGTTATTGCAAAAATAGTATTTCTCAATAAGCAGACCAATATTTGTTGGTTTAAATACGAACTGGGATGCTTCCACGAATTTACTTTGAGAAATATTGCCATCGGTCAATATCATATATGCAGAAAACAAATGAAAAAAAATGCTTTTTTTTTTTTCTAAAAAAGCGGGGCATTTCTGTACAAAATGGTGGCTAACCAAGTAAAAGTCATTTTCATATTCAGCACCCTCAAATTAGCCAAAAAAAATGTTTGGTGTCTCGACACCGTTTCAAAGTTTTCTTTTTCTTTTTTTTTTCTCAGGGTACCTGCCGTAGCGTATTTTTTTAAACGCTCGTCTCGCATACCAGTTTACTATTAATTTCGGGGTTCATTAGGCGTCTATAAAGGTCAACTAAGTATATTATTATTATTGAACGCCTGCCGTAATGCGTCGTCAAACAGTTTCGTCTCATCGACCAAACAGCTTTTATTATGGATAAAATCTTTAGAAATAAAATTTGAAGTGTGAAACGGCGGAGGGGGGTGTTTAATTCGAGATTTGAAATTAATTCATTTATAACTGCGATTACTTTTATTTTATTTTCTCTCTATCCTCTTAGAGCTGTTCGGATTAACAGGGTGGATCAAAGGACATTCGCACCGAGAGGGTTAGAGAGATTGTGGAAAAGAGAAAAGGGGAGGTGGGAGGGAGGTAGAATTAAAAAGGGTTATTAAGTGTGAAGAAAAAAAAAAGCAAAAAAGATGGAGAAGTGGAATAGAGAAAGAAAGACATTGGTGAAAAGAGATATCGAAAGGAAAGAGCGTAGAGTGGTAGAGACGAGGCTTTAATAAGCGAAGAAAAAAAAAGAAAGAAAAAGTAGGGAGAGGATAGATAGCAAGAGAAACAGAGAGAGGGGGATATCGACAGAAATGGATAGAGATTTTTTTTAAAAAAGTGTTAATAATCGGAGAGAAAGCAAGATGCGTAAAAATAGATAAAATAGAGGGCAAAGGAAAGACAGAAAGGGAGACAATATATCAATAGGGGGGACGTCGAGAGATAAAAAAAAAAAAAGATTTTTAATAAACGAAGAAAAAAAAGGAAAGAATATAAAAAGATATACATGGAATAAAGAGTAAGAGGAGCAGAGGGAGATTGATTAAAAAAAGGGGGTTGGGGTAAGCAGAAAGAGGATTTGGTCCTGAGAGGTAAAGAAAAGAAAAGAGGGAAAATAGAAAGAGACGGTGTACATGAATGTGAGAATATACTGGGCAGGGTTAATGGAGGCAATGAGAAGAAAGTAAGACTGTGTAATGTTGACTAACGAAAAGAAAAACAAAAGATAACATGAAAGAAGGAAAGAAAGAAATTATTGGAAATGAAAGATAGAAATGGCTAGATAAAGAAAGAAAGAAAGAACTGGAAATGCAAAACGTTATTAGTGGAAATAAAAGAAAGAAAGAACAAAATTACTAAAAAATTAAAGAAATGTCTAGAAATGATTGGAAATGAATGAAAGGGAAAGAAAGAAATCTCTGGAAATGAAAGAAAGAAAGAACTGTCTGAAAATGAAAGATAAAGAAAGAAAAAACTGCCTGTAAATGAAAGAAAAAACAGTCTAAAATTAATAGAAAGAAAGAAAGAAATGCCTGTAAATGAAAGAAAAAGAAAGAAAACCTGCCTGAAAATAGAAAGGAAAAAAAAAAGAAAGGGCGAAATTACTAAAAATTAAAGAAAGAAATGAATGAAATGATTGGAAATGGATGAAAAACAAATGCATGGGAAAGAAAGAAAGAAAGAAAGAAAGAAAAATGAATGAATAAGAAAGAAAGAAAAATGAATGAATAAGAAAGAAAGAAAAATGAATGAATAAGAAAGAAAGAAAGAAAAATGAATGAATAAGAAAGAAAGAAAGAAAAATGAATGAATAAGAAAGAAAGAAAGAAAAATGAATGAATAAGAAAGAAAGAAAGAAAAATGAATGGATAAGAAAGAAAGAAAGAAAAATGAATGGATAAGAAAGAAAGAAAGAAAAATGAATGGATAAGAAAGAAAGAAAGAAAAATAAATGAATGAATAAGAAAGAAAGAAAAATAAATGAATGAATAAGAAAGAAAGAAATAAATACCTGGAAATGAAAAAATAAGAAAGAAAGAAAAAAGTCTGGAAATAAAAGAAAGAAATTACTGGATAATAAACAAATAAAAGTAGCTAGGTAGGTAGGTAATTTCATTCGTTCTGTGGCGGAGGCAATAACCTCCTGCACAAAGAAGTGGGTAGTAATCCAGTATTTTAAATGCTTATTTTCAAAGCAGTCTCTCACAAAGATTTATGAAATACAATGTTGCTAACTGTATAACTCACTCACACCCGCACACAACCTTCTAAGCCATATTCACTCCACTTCGTTCGTTCTCCTTTCAATCCATATAAATCTAAGTTGATCTTACGATTTCCAGGAATGATCGATCAGCAACAGCTACAACTACTTGTTAACCAATTGGCCGATACTTGAAACTGAAATTACAAAGCAGTTTTCACTGTTCTGTAACCAAGACATTGTAGTGGATCTAAAAAGGTTGCGTGAACATTTTAAATGTTTCGCTGTAAATAAAACATGCAACATCCACAAACATAAATTTAAGTAAAAAATCAAATGATAACGATATACAATTACAACAAAAAGGATATCTTTGGGAACAACATATATATATATATTTTTTTTTATATACAAAATATTACAATCTTGTTTTGTAAAGATATGTGCGAAAGCTTGATCAGAGTATTTTTAAAGAGAAAACTTCTTGTGGCTGGTTTGGAAATTTTTCGTATGTTTTTAATGTATTTTGGGAAATTTCGTACGTACGTGCATGTGTGAATATGCTTTTATAAGCGTCTGACCGCACATGGTCAAGACGCGAATCCTTTTCCCAACTACGTTTTGTAGTGAGAAAAATCAAGGAAAAGAGAATGAACAAACTCGTGTCTGCTATTTATAATTAATGTAACCACGTGACAGGCTCCTGGAAAAAGAGCGGAAAAACTTGACTTGGTCACGCGCTGGAAAATAAGATTTGTACGTGGGTGGATTGCAAGGTCCACTTGTATGTTTATTGACCAATTAGAAGTTGAGATTTCCTGAAAATATGTATGAAGCTGGGTAAGCTCTTTGATCCACTTTTTGCACACATTTGTACAAAATTCAACATTGATAAGAAAGTGTTATCAGTAGCTAAAACATCGTTGCTCGTTCTTCCGATAAGGTAAGCCTAATAAGTATCAACCAAAGGACATTACCCGAACAGAGGGACAAAAGAATACATAATATTTCGATAGACGGAAGGTATGACCAAAGTAATCACTGATTCGTCGCATGATTATTTGCGCACTTTCTATATGCCCTTGAAATCTGTGTTTTGTGACTAGTTAGAAAGGGTAATACAGGGTGTCCCAAAATAATGTTTACACTCTTTAAATATTAATAGTTAATAATACATTACCGTGATTTGAGAACTTATATGGATGAAAATATGCAAGGCAGATGGATTGGAAGAAGAGGAACATTTGAATACCCAACTAGATCACCAGATTTGATACCCTTGGATTTCTTTTTGTGGGAGTTTCTAAAAGACAAAGTTTACAGCAGGAAACCTGAAACAATTGCTGAAATGAGATTAGCAATTGAAGAAGAATGTGCTCAAATGCCAGAGAAAATGGTACTGGACATTTGTAGTTCTTCAAGATATGAAAAGTGTATTGAACAGAACGGCAACCAATTTGAGCACTTGATGTGAACTCATCATTATATGAACATTCTGCCATTGCCCCAAGTAGCTTTTATTTTATTACAGTTAATTTTCTATGTTTTTTGTATATTTTACTCTCAAATTCTTTAAATGTGTATTCTTTCTCTTGTATTAATCTTTTTTACAAGTCAAAATACATAAATTGAATAAGTTATAACGATTCAAAGAGTGTATGCATTATTTTGGGATATAATGTATATTCAGCAACTTCCAGAAAAAAAAAGGATTTGAATGTCGAGCATAACGAGCAAAACTATGACTCATGATGACGTCACGTATGAGAAAGCACAACAAAGGATCTCTAGCCTTGGCTGTCAGTCAGTCTAGGAGGACAACTCAGAATTCAAAACCATGGAATAAAGAACGCGGAAATGCACACGGGTGTACGGGTAGTGTATCAATTATCAAAAGGTGGAATCGGCAAGCCAAGTTCAAATTCCCATTTAGCCTGTTGTATTCACTTTCGCACACATTCCTTGGAAAAGATATGAATCTATCTCTTCTACCCCCACCTATGGATTAAATATCAAGGTAGTCTAGGCTTTGTAGATCTGGGTGGAAGGCAATTTAAAAGAAGTTTTTTGAATCTCTCTCTCTCTGTGAGGGGGGAGCTTAATATTGATAGAGACAACCGGAAAATATTGCTTGAGAAGAAAGCATTTCCAAACATTGGATATTTGGAAAGAAAGACAACTATTTTGCGTCGTAGAGATTTACGTATTTCTGTACGCATTTGCGTAGCTGGAGTGTGTGCTTCCCCTTCCGCAACCACTCGGTCTCCCACAAAAGATACAACATATTGCACAGTGCAGCCTTCTTACTCACAGACACACACACACATATATATATATATAGATAGAGAGAGAGAGAGTAAAGGTAATCGATCCGTTGGTATATAATCCGGGTGGATCCTAGTAATAATAATTATTAAAATTGATCTACAGACAGATCGATGTTTTCATTTTAACACGGTTTGAAATAGTCTTTCAGATGTTGAGGTAATTTTGTTTTTTTCCATGCATATATATATATATATATATATATATATATATATATATATATATATATATATATATATATATATATATATATGCATAAAATGAATGGTATATATCTATAAAATTAATAATATATACATATGCATAAAATGAATGGTATATATGTATAAAATTAATAATAATTATATATATATATATATATATATATATATATATATATATATATAATTAATAGGCCCAAAAGACAAAAAAATAGTGCACTACATACTCTCAAACGAACTTCTCAAGGAAAATAACTGAAATTTATATAATAACAACCAAGATCTGTCTCCAACACATAGCGGGCCTGCGGCATTAAAAAACCACACCCTGGTTTCACATAGTCAACAATAATCAAACAGTTCTGAATACATTACTGGATAATGTTTATAGTTTGGACAAGATAATAATGGCTTAAATATATATGCCATAGTTACTCTAAATCAAAAAGGTTCTTCACCTCTGAGGAGTGCCCATAATTTACTTTTATTTCAATAACAGTTCATACAGTAGACACAAATGTACCCTCCCCCTATAAAAGTGTTGCTCGAGACGGACTATACCCTCGATCTCTTCTACCTACGCTACTGCTTGTACTTGAGATCGGTGCCCGGGCCTAGATAAAGAGTCAAGATTTCGAATGCCTATTTTTGAGGTAGGTTGTCCATTACCACGACGAAGATTGGCGGAGTACACTCTTTTACCTATTTCATATTCTATCACCACGATTGGTTTACGAAGCTAAACTTTTGATAGAAATGACCATAAAATGTTTCCTAAACTCAGAAAATGTATGCTGGGTTACTGAATTATAAGAAAGAAACACAAAAGGTGGCAACGATTTAGAATGCTGATTTTTCTAGATAGCCAAGCCCTCGCCAATTGAAAGTTTGGCGCTATACAGGCTTCCTAACATTTTCATTTGGCCCCTGTATTTTAAGTTTAGTAAATAATGTAACAGAGAGAGGTTGAGGCACATGAATGCACACAGGCAAATATAACGTTTTTTGATTGAAGATGGAAAACACGATCTTCCGTGAAAGTTACAAACTGTGTCAGCGCTATTAATAGGAAAGAATCTAGAACAATGATATATGAAACCTGAGACGGCTGATGGATAAAGAATAAATTTCAAATCTGGTTGGTGAGGACTTGTTTATAAACAAATGCAAAAGGGCAGGAGGCGATTTTTAATTTGGGTAAAAAAAAAATAGACGAAAATAATATTTTTGATAAAAACATATTGAAGTAAATTGGACCGGGGAGGTAAGATCAGTGTATGTTTACCGCTAGCGAAATCTGATCTAAACATAAGTTGTATCTGCTGAATTTGGTCATCGAAAAGACAATTGAAATGAACATTGAACTAATTAATTTTATCCACTAAGAGATTTGAAATAGATCTGAATTTAAACTTTGCTTATGGCGACACTCGTGTTAAGCGCGTGAACAACCTGGCTTATAACCTTCGGTTTGCTATATAAACACGAGTTTTGCTGAGTTGGCGTTAGACGAGAGTGACGTTGAGAAAGAGAGATTGTCGTTGCAGTGAGTCGGTCCAGTGGCGAGTCAGAGATAAGGACTTCATCGTTGTTGTAGCAGTCGCATCGAAAAGTCGCCGAAACTTACGACACCCAACTGAAAAGCTCCACTTCCACGTAGGGCTGGAATTACGAGTCACATATCCTCCCAAGTTGATTTGGAACGAGTTAATCACACACACACACACACACACCTCTCTCTGTTGGTATAATTGGTAGAGGAGTGGTCCTCTGTTCTTATGTTAATTACTTTTCTATCCTTTCTGTAAACTCTTTCTACTGTTGTTGTTTTCTTATATAAAAGGCATCAATATTTTACCCATTGTTGTTCGGCTTCTGCAGATATTATTTCCTTGTTTGCCACATTCTAATCTTCCTGCCGCTCACCCTCACAGCCGTGCCTACATGCCCAATCGACCGTGAACGTATGGACAACACCCCGCTTACTGGATCTAAAAACTAACACAACGTGGGCAGCAGGCGAAACTTGGCCAGTGACCGGTCGAACAACCTACGGGTACTCAGGGAGCGTGCTGCCAGCTACCCCTGAGTTCGGTTCTGACCGAGTGGGCGCCTCAACCCAAAGAGAAAGACGCCGGAGGTTGAGGGGCTGAAGGGACGAGTGGTAGAATAATAGAGAAATATATAGAGAATTAGGAAGAGATGGGAAGAAAAAAGAAGAAAAGAAAAGGGGGTGGATACAGTGGAGGTGGTAAAGAAGATGGTGGGTGCTACTTTTGCATGATATCTACCGAGGTATTTGCGATCTACCGTAAATGACGATGCACCCATTATTGCAGGAAAATCCACAGGAAAAACGATGGCCTGTTTACTGTTTTTTGTAAATGACATCAAATCAGTTTACAACCATTAAAATTATTATTTTGATCTTTAAAAAAAATTTTTGGTATGAAAAATTCTTAATTATTTTTAATACATTTGGTGCTTTCTTTCTTTATCCCGTGACTCGTAGGTGCACCATGTGTACTACAGCCACAGTAGAAGTGGAATTTCTTTATCAAGATAGCCTGACAGAGCCCAGCCCTCTCCAGGCAGGTTTTGAATTCAGTTTTTCCTAGACCGGTTGCCATCCAAGGTGATAGAACCCAGCCTGCCCTGCTATTTTTCCATAGCTGGGTAGAGAAGAAGAGGATTCATACCTTTCCAAAGTGTATTAGCACGTAAATGAATGTCATGGATCCGACTAGAATTCGAACTCGGCTCTCCGATTCTTCAATCCGAGTCGCTAGCTACCGTGCTTTTCGTGCTACTATAGTAGTACATCTACCGAGGCATTTGCGACCTACCGTAAATGACGATGCACTCATTATTGCTGGAAAATGGTCAGGAAAAACGATGACCTGTTTACTGCTTTTTTTTTTTTTTTTTTTAATGACATCAAATCAGTTTATAAATATTAAAATCACTAATGATTATTTTTTTGTTAATGATTTTTAATACATAACCAATTCACTGTTCACTGCGTTTAACCCTAACCTCTAACCCTAACTCCTAACTCTAACCTCTAACCTTGACATATATCATACTTTCAGCAGTCGGTAACTATCATACTATCGTAGAAAATGAATAGTAGATATCATTACTATAGTAAAACCAACTGTTGGGATGAAGAAAGAAAAGAAAGGAATAGAAAGGGAAAGAAAGAGTGGAATGATACAGAAAGTGACGAAAAGAAAGAGAACGGGTAAGAACGAGGGGAGGTGATAGAGAAACTGGTAGAAAGAAAGAAATAAAAGGGAAAAGAAAGAGAGGGGGTGATAGCGAAACTGATGAAAAGAAAGAGAAGGGGGGAGAACGAGGGACGTGATAGGGAAATTGGTGGAACGAAAGAAAAAGAAAAAAAGGGGGAGTGATAAAGAAATTGACTGAAAGAAAGAGAATGAGACGAAAAAAAAGGGAGTGAGGAAGAGACTGGCGAGGTGAAAGAGGAGGAGGATGAGGAGGAGGAGGAGGAAGAAGAAAGTGAGAAGTTAAATTTTGAAATGTGGCAATTTGGGGGATTAAATTTGCTTGTGACGTCATTGTCTATAATTCGGACTGAGCTGCACACGTGACGTGCTAGGCTGCTAAATCACCATTACAACTGCCTGAACTTAATCCCGAAATGGCGGCCAGACAAATTGTTATTTAAGCTATACATGCACGTATACCAATTCAGCTCAACACACACAATATCTCCTTTACTCTTGACTGGTTTTCTTATCACGTACAAATATCGCCTGCTTTCATCCATTTTTTTTTTCATGCTACTCGAATTTAATTATCAGACCGATGCCAAACTGTGGAGGCACGTTGGAGTAATAGATAACGGCCCAAATTGAGTAATAGGTGAGCCGAGTTTGAATTCCACTCGAGTTCATTACATTCACTTTTGTGCTAATACCCTTAGGAAAGGCATGAACCAATCTCTTATTTACTCCACCGGTTATGAGTAAAATAGCAGGACAGACTGGGTTTAATAGCATTAGATAACACCCTGAGGAAGATCATTTGCTCTCTCCAGTCCAGCTATGGCTAACTAGCAAGACAGACTGGGGCTTATAGCCTTGGATGACAACCAATCTGGGAGAAGGAAAACTCCGAATTCAAACCAGCCTGGGAAAGGTCGGGCTCCATCAGGCTGCTTTACCCAGGAAACACCACTGCTGTTGTAACTGCAATGCATGGGGTGTCCCGACGGTCTTTCAAATTAATTTCACTTGTGTAATTTTTACGAATATTTCAAAGATTCCCTTAACACTGTGTGAAACATTTACATGTTATTAAGACGCCTATAAAAAAAAAAAAAAAACTATAAGGCTATATCATATTTATCCCCCTGTTTAGTTGTGAATGCTGAACAATTCCCTGATGAAGGAACTCGAAGCGACATAGATTTGGCTCTGCAAAATAGCATGGACCGTTCTCAAGAAAACAGGAACTAGAATAACACTCATGTGTAAAATCAGAAAGAGTTTAAATTTCCGAGAAGAGGGTGACGTATTAATGGGAAGAGGGGGAGAGATAAACAGTGAGTAACTTGCTTAATATGTTTGTGTGAAGGGAAGACAGCTGGGACAGGGCGTAATGGTAAAGAGTCAAACGTTAATTAAAAGACACAAAAGATAGGAAGCTGTGGAGAGCTATTATCGCTCACGTCCTTAAATTATATCAACGATGATGCATGTCTAGCTAGGGTCCAATTCGTTCGTATAATAGTCTCTATCCTGATTCGGCATCCCAGTTCTGTGACCGTATAACATCCTAAGTAAAATTTTAATACATATTAACATCCATCAATGTCACAATTATTGAACCTGGTTTTCATTTGTCAACATTGAAAGCTAAATAATTTTTCATAATAGAAGCAAATAAACAATATGGCGGACGACAAAGTCTGTTTGATATCAAATTCGTGCGAGAGAATAAATTGCGCAGACGTCTTAGATTTCAGTGAATATCCGTTTTTTAAACAGAGAAGAATCAAGAAAAAAAAACGCTTCTGTTGTTGTTATAACGAATTTTTCTTCAGATTAAAACTTATTTACAATTGCGTTGTTTTAAAAGTGTGTAGAAAAAATTGAAGAGAATTTTAAATACCTATATGTAAAAAAAATATCGAACTAATTATCGATGGATTACGAGGCACACATGCCTGTAAGAAAGAAAGAAAGAAACAAACAAACAAAAGAAGGGAAGAAACGCAAAAAAAAGAAAGGGAGATAGATAGGAAGGAAGGAAAGTTGGAAGAAAGAAGGAAAGAAAACGAAGAAAAAAGAACGAGACAAACAAAAAAGAACGAAACAAACACAAAAAGAAAGGAAGACAGATAAGATAGAAAGACAGATAAGAAGATAGGAAGATAGATAGGAAGGAAGAAAGAAAGAAAACGACCAAAAAAGAAAGAGAGAAACAAAAAAGAAACAAATAATCACAAAAAGAAAGAAAGACAGATAGGAAGATAGGTAGGAAGAAAGAAAGAAAAAAAGAAAGAAAGAAAGAAAGAAAACGAACAAAAAAGAAAGAGAAACAATCACAAAAAGAAAGGAAGATAGGTAAGAAGATAGATAGAAAGGAAGAAGGAAAGAAAACAAATGTACAGTGAAAAGAAAGAAATGAAATAAAAATCAAAAAATGAAAGAAAGAATGTATAAATGAAATGACGAATTAAAGGAAATATAAAAGGAAAGAAAGTCCGTTAGAATGAATGAAAGAAGAAAAATAATCAATGAGAGAAACCAATGAATAAAAGAATGAATAATATGAACGAAAGGTAAAAAAAGAAAAATTAATATTTTATAATTCATATTAATGAAAAATGAATAAGAAAAATTGAAGAATGAAATACTGAATGAAAGAAATTTATTTCATAATTTTTTTATAGTCGCTTGGAATAGTTAATAAGCTTGTTAGAAACACCAATTCGTGGGTTTCGATATTCGCTGAATGCTACACTTCTGTGATCGTGTGTGCAATATAACTATTTGAAAAAGGCACCTCGGAACGGTATAATGTTTAACAAGCTTGTCTCGCTAAAAGGATTACAACTGAGTAATGAGTTCGATTCTTACTTGGGTGTCTCATAATTTCCGCCTTGTACCACATCTAAGCTACGCTTGAAAGATCACTATAACTACATTAGTATCCCTGACAACCGGACTAAGAAGGCATTCCGGATATGAGGAATTGGTTACAAAGTCCGCATATGAGGGGTTTTATTTAGATTAAAATAAATGAACTGAAATCAGGTTTAACATTTATTTTCAATGTTTTATAGTAAACAAAATAAGCTAATGGTGAGTGAAATATAACGGAATTGATTTTAAGAAAAAAAGAAATAAATTATGTAATGTTAATGAAAATTCATTAAATTAAGTATGCCACATATGCAAAACAAATAAATAACAAGGATTTTTTAATTTTTTGCATGATGATTCTTTTCTTTTAATGCCATTCTCAACTTTTTCCGCATTTCGTTTTGCTTTTGTTCTTGAATATTTTTAAACGAAAGACACTTTTTAACTCTGCGTGCTTTATTGCAATCGTCATAGCTGAATGCTGGCTTTCTTTCCATAAAACTGACAGGTTTTTCAATTTCAGTCCAGGTTTCATCACAATCACGTTTTTTATTTCCTTGTTCATTGTGACAGTTTGAACGCTGGAGAATAGTTTCTTTGGAAGATTTTATATCATACAAACTTTGGTTTTCCTATGTTGAACTCAGTCATATAGTTACAATGAACTTTCACCAGCGTCTAGTCTGTTTAAAATTTCCACTTTTTGCGATAACTCCAAAGTTGTTATTTTCCTCTTATTCCCATCATCTTTTGCACCAATACAAGCCATTAGGGTGAAATAAGCATGAGCAATTATTGGCATTAAATAACCCATTGAAGTTGATATGCCGTAAAACAAAAACCAAACATGTTAAATTTCTGGAGATAATAGAAACGTAAAGGATTCTTATACTTAACAACAGTAAGAGACGGTTGAAATTTCTATGACACATAATGAGGAAATAAGGCTTGGAAAATCTGATACTCACAGGAAAGATTGAATGTAAGAGGGACAAATAAAAACAATGCATACTTAGTGAGCTTGAGTAAATGGATGGTGGAACAAGGTTTAGGAGAGATAACAAAAAGACAAAATTTATCAAGAGCTACAAAGGAGAGGAAATTGTAGAGAGCCATGAACGCCTACATCCTGAGGAAACACAGCACAAAAAGAAGTAATCTTTTAATATTCTTTATATACAGTTTCTACAAAAAAACTTCTACACATCCTCTACAATCCTAACTAGCACAAAGCTAACAAAATATAACAAATTCCTCGTAAAAGAAACTCCCACTTCATTATTCTTTTTTTATTTCTTGTCTCGTTGAAAAAGGACACAGGCATGTCCGAAAATTCCGATATTTAATATCTTTCTTATCATGACTTCCATTAGATCAAAAGGCCTACTAATATACAATAAATATTATCCTATTATAATTCTGCTTGTACCACTCTTCGTTAATTTGCACGACCGTTACGCCCTGGCAATACGTCATAAATAATGTACGATTTTGTTTTGATCGCATAGAAAGGGGGAGACGCTACTTGGTTTCAGCGAGAAAATGAAAAGAAACAAAGGAAGATATAAGTGTTTAACGTCTTCTGCCATTATCTCATAAATAACAGACTATTCCGTTTCGATTACGTAGAAAAAAAAAATACACGCTTCTTGGTTTCACTGAGAAAAAGAAAGAAAGAAAGATAGAAGAGTTTAACGATTGTTCCGGTGAAATGGAAAAGTTGTCAATTTCAAATCTTTTCATTTGTACCCCCTTACTTCTTAAAATAACAACCAGCATTTATAATTATGATTGTTATTGCAATATTTTTGTTAAAGTTGTTAAGTTCAAATATTTAACAATGGGACAGGGGAATTTCTACGGATATTTTATTGTCGTAGAACTCGACATGAGCTCATTCAATCACTAACTTAATAATTAAGATTTATCAGAATAGGAAAACCATGAAGTTTTCACGGGTTAAAACTAATTCTGGTGGTAGCACCTGTTAGGGTCCCAGCTATGGGCAGATAATATACTCCCAAAGAAAAATGAAAGATATATTTTTATAATAAAATGACCGACAATACATTTTTATAGCAAAATGACAATCAATGCATGACTAAAAAATATAAAAATACATTTTATAGTAAAATTGCCAACAATACATTTTATGATCTGCTAACTATATGTCTAAAAAAATACCTTTGCCCCGAGAGTATAAAATTACGTACAAAATATTTAGATTTCGGCATTAAATAACCCATAGAGGTGTTGATATGCCACTAAACAATATCAAGCACGATAAAAATAGTCTTATTTTCAATATTATTAATTTTTTTTCTATATTTCTGAGATGAGGTATTGGATCTTTTACGGCGCCTACGCCAAGCAGTACAGCATGACGTTTTCCAAATTTGCGTCATGCTGCTCTATTTCTCACAGGCAGTGCCAAACTGATCCCACTATACTGTGCAATCGACAAAA